TCCTTGTTGTTTGTGGGTTCGGGTCGAGTTCTTAAATTTGTTGTTGTTTGTGGGTTGGGGTCGGGTCCTTCTATTTGTTGTTGTTTGTGGGGTCGGGTCCTTCTATTTGTTGTTGTTTGTGGGTTAGGGTCGGATCCTTCTATTTGTTGTTGTTTGTGGGTTCGTGTCGGGTCCTTGTTGTATGTGGGTTCGGTTCGGGTCCTTCCATTTGTTGTTGTTTGGGGGTTCGGGTCGGGTCCTTCCATTTGTTGTTGTTTGGGGGTTCGGGTCGGGTCCTTCTATTTGTTGTTGTTTGTGGTTTCGGGTCGGATCCTTCTATTTGTTGTTGTTTGTGGGGTCGGGTCCTTCTCTTTGTTGTTGTTTGTGGGTTCGGGTCTGGTCCTTCTATTTGTTGTTGTTTGTGGGGTCGGGTCCTTCTATTTGTTGTTGTTTGTGGGTTAGGGTCGGATCCTTCTATTTGTTGTTGTTTGTGGGGTCGGGTCGGGTCCTTCTATTTGTTGTTGTTTGAGGGTTGGGGTCGGGTCCTTCTATTTGTTGTTGTTTGTGGTTTCGGGTCGGATCCTTCTATTTGTTGTTGTTTGTGGGTTCGTGTCGGGTCCTTGTTGTTTGTGGGTACGGGTCGGGTCCTTGTTGTTTGTGGGTTCGGGTCATGTCCTTCTATTTGTTGTTGTTTGTGGGTTCGGGTCGGGTCCTTGTTGTATGTGGGTTCGGTTCGGGTCCTTCTATTTGTTGTTGTTTGGGGGTTCGGGTCGGGTCCTTCCATTTGTTGTTGTTTTGGGGCTTCGAGTCGGGTCCTTCCATTTGTTGTTGTTTGAGAGTTCGAGTCGGGTCCTTCCATTTGTTGGAGGGTTGGGATCGAGTCGGTGTCCTGCAGGTCGTTAATTGGCAGGTGAACATAAGGGAGAGGACAGCGTTTGTTCCGTTGAAACCGTTCTAAACAGCTGGCAAATCACTAGGACTTGTACTGAGTACGCGTTACTTCCCCTTAGGTAGTACATGTGCTACGGTATTGGCGGGTCGAGCGTTCCAAATGGTTCGACAGGGCAGACCGGAGATCGTTTATGAAATAAAGACACCTAGTGTTTTGTTGTTGCTTTCTAACGATCTTTGGCAAAGACATTGAAGGCCTGCAATATCATTTGCTGGTCTGTCATCAGGTTTTGTCATTGAAATATCGCATTTTAAATAGACAAAAGTGTGGGTCCACATCAACGAACAGGCCTCTGGTGTTGCGATAGTAATAGAGAATGCTTGTTTTCGAGTGTAACTAATAAGCTAATGCAATTTTGGAGGCTTTTGTTAATATTACCGAAAAATAGCCGACACCGGAAACCAGACTGTGACATATGACACCTTTCAGTTTTCTACACCATTGCACAGCTAGGGACCCGCGAGAACTTGTTAAATCATGCAGCTGTGTTTGGATCTAAATTGATGTGTTCAAAGTAAAATACATTTCTGTAAGTTGAAATCAACTCTCGATAAGAAAGCATTATGCGATACATGTCCTAACTACGTTACATTGTCTGGTAACGTAACGACATTTCGATACAAAACAATGTCCACTACCACGATATTGTCCAATCCTGATACGATACACGTACATTATCGGGTCATCTAGTCATATTACGTCCGTGTTTCATAAACTAGGTGCAATTGAAGCCTCTCCTAGCTACCAATCAGGAACCTACTCGTTTATGGGAGGTGCCGACCGATCCCGAATTTTAGATGACCCTGGTCTCCTTTTGGATAACGATACGAAATATACGCGTCACATAATTCAGTGATTATGCATCGATGTAAACTATGATTTTGTATCAAAGCATATGTGTTCAGCCGTCTAAAATATATTTATCGGGGGTAAACAGTGATCCGGCTAATTTTATCTTTGTCCCCATGCCAAAGCGACTCTGACATAAGAGCAAAAACATACATATATACATTTTGTGGGCATTATACATCGAATTATGAAGTTAGTTTCATCAAAAAATATTCAGAAGTTAAGAGGTAACTGTCAAAACAAAAACAACTCGTTTACATTTGATCCCTTGGAGTTCGCTTTGTCCTCTGATTAACAGATATGAACATGGTAATTTAGAGTAACCGCCATCTAGTGTTCGTTAATTTATTAACAAAGTTATATCAACATATCTTAAGCGTATCCGAAGTTGTGGTCCAGACACGAATTGTAGTTCAACAGCTTTAAATTAACCTTTTATTGTCCCCATGGACTGTGTTCTAGGGCCATGATAGTGGTACATGTGCTTACGGGGTGTCATCGCCATATATTAAGCCAATCGGAGGTCGAGTTACAAGTGTATGCGATAGCCATTTGACCTTTGACATATTATTGTGACCTTCACCTGTATCCGAAGGCCATGAACCTTGCACACGATACACTACAGATGTGCCAAATGTTTCATTATTATAAGTCAATTGGAGGTCGAATTTTACCATAACGACAGTTGACCTTTGACCTTGACGTTTAGTTGAGGGTCATGAAAATAATCTGTTGTGCACCTTCTTGTGGTACGTATGTGAAGAGTATTAAACATACTATTTAAGGCCCATCAGAATTTGTAGGACGGACAAATATACAATGTATAAAAGATGCCGTTGGAAGCACGGTCCCACTACAAACAGAACACAATATGCAGCACACACGCAGGCATACACACATAGGGAGATATTAGCCAGGAGGCATAGGACTAGTAGTTAGCGCCCGATAAGGCAGCTCCTGCGAATTCCTCAAAATTTGTATATCCTTATTGTATTAATTGTATATCTATGTACTGTAAAGCGCTTTAGAGCGCCTTATGGTAGCTAGATAGGGCGCTATATCAAATGTTGTATATTATTATTATGTATCTATGCGGTAATAGTCCCTGATTCGAGCAGCCGGGCACGGAGTGAACTGTCTGACACAGTCAATACATACTCAGGATAAATTATGCGATATGTTCAGTAATTATATATACTATATTAATATTAATATTAAATATACATCCGGGAAACACTGCAGTTATATTAGGGGATACGATTACTAAATGTTAATGTGTGACGAGGCTAGCTAATCATGACACTATTGGATCGTTTTTTATATTATCTGATCAGCAAATTATGCAAATTCACAGCTTTCTGTTCATCTGATCCACAGAAGGGAATGACTTAACACTTAAACTAGGCTAATGGTACACCACTCACAACTAATTAATGCATTAAAAACATATTAATTAAAATTAATTCCATTTCCTCTGTATTTGTGTAAGCAAGAAAATTAGAACCAATTTAAAGACAGTTTCAATTTTAACATATCAAGTTTTGTACGGGTTAATCCTGAACGGGAAACAGTCAATTACTTTGACACATTCCCCAAAGGACGAACCGATTTCGTAACGGGAGATACCGAGTCTGTTTTTTTTTGTTGAAAACTCTATTACCAACAAAAAGGTTGATAAATTGGATGTTTAGACAACAGATGTTTTGCACTTCCAGACTAAACCGTTGCCTTAGGGAATCAACTATGGCAGCCCGGCGTGGCCACTTGGTTCAGACTAGGGGTAACGTTGTGACTGATCAAATTTCTTATACATTTTTATATAATACGGATGTATCATGAAATCATCCTAGCCCTTCTTCGGTTCTTTGCAATACTTCATCGGCCAGGTACGATAACAGTTTCGTTGAACTAGACAATTCCAAATGTTATCGGAATAGCTTTGGAAAGAGCGTGAAAACGACGATATATGTATGTGGTTGATTTGTTGGATAACGATATCAGACGGTGTTTAAAATAACCATTACCAACCAATATCACCGTTTTCAAAACCTTTCCCAAACTATTTCTGCTAACATTTGCAAGCGCGATGGACACAAGAGTACTTCAGATGGTCATGTCAGTTGAAAGAGTTACAACCCGACAATTTCCAATTTTACTTTTATGTCCAAGTCCCTCTGAATAGACGGTGAGGAAAGTTGATCATCTGTTACATGTTGTACTTGCGACGTGCTGTTGAACCGCCGTTAAATGGATTAGAAACATGCCTGTACGTTATTTGGTAAATATTTTAATGGTTGATGCTGTATACACGCTGTATACATGCAGTATATCCTGGTGGTAGTTAGCAGTCGCCGTATATTTTTGACAACCTCGGTTAGATGTTCTGGTAAACTTGTAAAAACATAACATCCTCGATCAATCCAACAGCTGCACAGCTTTTAGAAACACAAATATGGGATCATACTTTCCCATCGGTGTAAAACGAGGCTGTCCAATAACGGCAGGGATTGGGGGGGGAAAGTAGTGTCAAATTGACACATGCATTGTTAGCTTGAATAGACGTTTATAACGGCCTGTATACACATGTACACCGACCCTGTATACACATGTACACCGACCCTGTATACACATGTGCACCGACCCTGTACACACAAGTGTACACCAACTGTGTACACACATGTAAACCGACCCTGTACACAAAAGTGTACACCAACCCTCCACAAACACATACATCGCCCCCGTACACCCGGCCGTGTATGGCAGGTATTGGGTGGTGAAAGTAGTGTCAAATTGACACATGCATTGTTAGCTTGAATAGACGTTTATAAATCAAATATTACATATATTATAGATCGATCTCTAAAGAAAATATTTTCAGTTTGCTGTTGATTTATTTTCACTTTACATTATTTTCAAAGGAATTCTTGATTTTATGCTTTTTAATGATTAAATATGGAAAATATTGACGATGAAGTAGACGAGTGGGTATAATTCGACCGATGAACGGTCAATTATTATAATGCAGTAACCACCGAAGTTCTGTATTTTGAACGGTGATATATCATTAAACAGGATATTTACAACACCATATGGATAAAATCACCAGAAAAAAAATCACAACGGGTTTGAAGTGAGATACGTACTTTTGATATGTATATTGTCAATTCGTTGTGTACGTATTGTCAATCCTGTATTGAATAAATGATAAAAAGAAGACATGTTTGTTTTTATGAATTCTTTCATTTTTCTTACACAAATTATGTGAACACAATAAGTCAAATTAGGTATGATCCTGTACAAATACATTAAAAGTACAGTATTTACATTTCACATTAAAATAATAACTAATTTCTTAATGGCCGTATGTACAGGATATAACATGTACATCGACCCTGTACACAACTGAACACCGACCCCGTACACACGTGTACCCCGATCATGTGATCACGTGTACATCGACCCCGTACACACGTTCACACCGATCATGTACGTACGCGTACATCGATCCTGTATTCACCTCACGATGTACAGACCATAGACACATGCACACCGACCCTGTACACACGTGTACACCAACTGTATACACACGTGTACATCGACCATGTATACACATGTATATCGATCCTGTACACACGTGTACACCAACTGTGTACACACATGTACACCGACCCTGTATACACATGTACACCGACCCTGTATACACATGTACACCGACCCTGTACACACATGTGCACCGACCCTGTACACACAAGTGTACACCAACTGTGTACACACATGTACACCGACCCTGTACACACAAGTGTACACCAACCCTCCACAAACACATACATCGACCCCGTACACCCGGCCGAACATGTACGTATAACTGTACACAGACCATAGGTCTACACACAGCACACCAACCTTGCATACATATGTATACCGACCATGTATACATATGTTCAACACATGCATCGATCTTATACAAACGTGTGTTTCGACAATGTACACACATGTTCACATCCGGTACGCACGTGTACACGTGTATACATACATATGTGGTCAGGTACAAATTTGTGTAGATTTCAGTGCTTTCAGAAACTGTAACCATGATGTTGAGATATCGTCCCAATTCTACAAAAAAAAAGGTACAATCTATAACATAGAACAGCCGACGTCAGATGTCGACACTATATGAGAGGTGTGTATGGCTCAATGTGTGTTCTCGAATTTAATTTAATTATCTTTTTGTTATTATTAATCGTCAGCGAATTAATGTTTCGTTAAAATCTTAATTGCAAAGTTAAAATCAAATTAAGTAAAACTACATTTGTATCTTTTAAATAAAGCTGGATACCGATAGGTCGAGTTAACAGGAGGCATGTTACGCTGCATACAGATAGGTCGAGTTAACACAAGGCATGTTACGTTAGATACAGATAGGTCGAGTTAACACAAGGCATGTTACGCTGGATACAGATAGGTCCAGTTAACACAAGGCATGCTACGCTGGATACAGATAGGTCGAGTTAACACGAGCCATGTTACGTTGGATACAGATAGGTCGAATTAACACGAGGCATGTTACGCTGGGTACAGATAGGTCGCGTTAAAACGAGGCATGTTACGCTGGATACAGATAGGTAGAGTTAACACAAGGCATGTTACGCTGGATACAGCTAGGTCGAGTTAACACAAGGCATGTTACGCTGGATACAGCTAGGTCGAGTTAACACAAGGCATGTTACGCTGGGTACAGATAGGTCGAGTTAACACGAGACATGTTACGCTGGGTACAGATAGGTCGAGTTAACACGAGACATGTTACGCTGGGTACAGATAGGTCGAGTTAACACGAGGCAAGTTACGCTGGATACAGATAGGTCGAGTTAACACGAGGCATGTTACGTTGGGTACAGATAGGTCGAGTTAACACGAGACATGTTACGCTGGGTACAGATAGGTCGAGTTAACACAAGGCATGTTGCGCTGTGTACAGATAGGTCGAGTTAACACGAGGCATGTTACGATGGGTACAGATAGGTCGAGTTAACACGAGACATGTTACGCTGGGTACAGATAGGTCGAGTTAACACAAGGCAAGTTACGCTGGATACAGATAGGTCGAGTTAACACGTGGCATGTTACGCTGGATACAGATAGGTCGAGATAACACAAGGCATGTTACGCTGGATACAGATAGGTCCAGTTAACACAAGGCATGCTACGCTGGATACAGATAGGTCGAGTTAACACAAGGCATGCTGCGCTGGATACAGATAGGTCGAGTTAACACAAGGAATGTTACGCTGGATACAGATAGGTCGAGTTACCACGAGGCATGTTACGCTGGATACAGATAGGTAGAGTTAACACAAGGCATGTTACGCTGGATACAGCTAGGTCGAGTTAACACAAGGCATGTTACGCTGGATACAGATAGGTCCAGTTAACACAAGGCATGCTACGCTGGATACAGATAGGTCGAGTTAACACAAGGCATGTTACGCTGGATACAGATAGGTCGAGTTAACACGGGGCATGTTACGCTGGGCTTTCATCCCCTTTTACAGAAAAGGATCAGATCTGACATAGGATAACAAATCTCATTCATACCACATAATTAATGATGTGTCGTGATATCCTAGTTATATAGTAAAACAGAACCATGTGTGTAGATGGTGAACTGTGAGGACTTCATAGTTACAATAAACACACTAAATGCTGGCGATAATCTCACAGTTCTTCAGCTTGAATTATAAAAGATGGAAAGACATTTCTTCATGATTATGACCATCATGTCATCATGTTGTGTAATGAGAAATTTATGCGAGACAACTTGACAGGGTTAATGGTAATGATGTTGTACCGAACAAGACACACCTCCTGACAGTAATTTCCGGTTATGGTTCAGTCTGACAAGACACTCGATTATATCATCTTTTACAACACAAAATGATTAACTCTACTTCCGCACTTAACAAAACATAACCACAATACTTTGATTGGACATTTGTTTTACAAAAAAGTCTAACGATAACGTGATTCTTGACTTCCATATATCACAATGTACTCTTTTAATACACACACACACACACAGAGATAATGTACTACAGTTTACTGCACAATGAAGGATATTATTATGACGTTTTTCTTTTATGATTTTCAAGTTTGACAAGCGCTTTTAATTAAAACACGATTTCACTTAAATACGAATAACGTTTTACATGCAGAAATCAAGGCACTGATTAAGTGATTTTAAATTATGTAACTTGTCAAACAAGTGCTCGACAGACACTTCACATCATACACAATGTCCTGTTTTTCCCCATGAAACATTTCTCATTGTTCAGCCGTTGTCGCACTCGCTGACTGAGAGGCAGCAATTATTAAACGCTGCTAAATGCATTAATTGTTGATATTTTGATATCTTCAATATTTACCACACAAAATCCTGCCATTGTGTTCCATCGCATAATATCCGGTTTGTGTGATGTTTTACGCAACTTCCGGTTTGGACGAGTTGCTTTGTATAATATTTTTACATCCAACATGACAAGACTTCCAAACAACAGATCAAAGATATCAACAGAACAAAGGAATACTTCTGTTCCACTTAGTATCCAACGAATAATGCCAATCTAGACATTCCTTCCAGTGCGAATGTTCCACATGAATCCATCATTTTAAAAAGGCATCAATCTTTTTTTAAAACGTTTCAAAAGTTTCTGCTTACCACCATGAAAACAGGGAACGGGAGATATCTTTGCCTGAACAAAACGAAAGGTCATCACCACAACGATGCCATGTCTATGATTATATAGTAACAACAAAGATCAAGGTCAGCGCATGTACCACTAAGAAGGTTAAGGTCATACAATGGCCGACAGACGCATGGACTGCGAAATTTCCTGACTGATATCATCGTCATCGGTGATTGTAGGCGGGCTGTTGAGTAGATGGGAAGGATCTGTGGAAAACAACAGAAAACATGTCAGGAAACAAAGACACAATAATCTTCTTGACTAACAGATCTTGCTATGACAAATTCCGGGTCTGAAGTTAGACTCACTGCATGAATCTACACCATTGCACCACCGTCATATTTCCCAGATTAAGCTTGAATGTTGCAATGGTACACTGTCCATGTCATATACACGATACGTGTACGAGTACTTGGACATACAATACTGAGGGATTACTACCGAACTGAAACGTTACTGTCTGTTCATAGACACTACTTCCCAATATGGCGACAGAGTCGGACAGACCCGTACGGTCCGTATATTTTCGTTTCAGCAATACATTTAGGCAATCGCTATGTGCATCTTCGCTAGCCAAGTGTTCGCTTCGAATTCGTACACACTCCATTTATACGAAGCGAACACTTGGCTAGCGAAGATGTCGCTATGAGGAAAGACATGCATAAGATAGCATTACAATTGTATATGCTATTTTCATGTTAACGATGGGTGTAAATGGAACTGTATAGGTCCGAATGGTAGGAACATCGTATATTTGAACTACAGTAGTTAATAAATAATAATAAAAGCGGTTCACACATTATTATCCTGGTTATAGGGCCTTCGCAACCAGCAAATGTCTTTCTCAACTCCCTGGGGAGAATACAGCCGCACCCCCGGTGCTGGCATTTCGGCGCTCACAGCTAGCATTCTACGATTCTAGCACTACCCCACCACGTACTCATTTACAGCTGAGTAGACTGGAAAAGGTATCTTGTTCAAAGATACAAGACAGTGCCGTGACGTGACTTGAACCCGCGACCCTTTGGTCACGAGCCCGGCGTCCAATAACTAGACTACCGTGCCTCCTTAATGACAAGTTCCAGAATGCTCCCTGGTTATAATGTGTAGATACACCATATGCACACATACATATAAAGTTTTATTAAGATAAATTTTAATATTGTCCATGAATTGCGCCCCTTTGTTACATCCAAGGGGAGATAACCGTGTACAAACTGAAAGTACTAACATTATGTAACTATACGAGCTTGTGTTACTCACCTATATCAGTAGAACCGTTTGTAAGTTCAGAGGCAGGTTCTTGTATTTTAGGTGGATAGTAAACGATGCCGTCATTATCAACTGGCTTGTTGGTGCGTCGTATGCAGATGACAGCAACGACGATGACGACGATGATAATTGGAATGAATACTCCAACCATGATACCGATGATGGCACCAAGAGGAAGCCCGCTTCTCATGGCTGGATCAGCTGTTTCGCCGCAAAGGAAATTAGAAAGTCTCAAGTTAAATACATGTGTGGTTAGGACGTTTATGCATTACGGAGGAACTTTATCACTTGTATGACATTTTGGTAGATATTCAGACGTCTCTACAAGCACAAGTTTTCCATCGACGTTCTACAACTACTTAATGATGTCTCTCAAAGGACTTTGCGACCTTCGGGAAAATCGTTCTCACAATGAGCCAGGCTGATCAAAGCATATGCACCAAAATGTTAGAGAAAATATTTAAAGAAAAAAGTGTTAGACAAGTTGTCTGATTTGTAAAGTGAGTGTGTATAATATACAGGTGCAATTTTACCATCATATCAACTACCGGATTAAAGGTTCCGTACCTGGGGTTTGGGTCGGCTGGACCGACACGTATGATGTATCGGTGGATATACGGACTGCTAGGACGGACGATGACGCGTTGGCCTCCAGTTTGAGTGACGCAAACTCTGACGTCATACATTTCCTCACGGGACTTGTATCACAGTTCGACACCTGGTTGGAAAGAGACAAGCCTTTAAGGATCTTCAATGAAATTACTCCAATATGGCACACATTTAACGTCTGGACTAAGTTGACAGATTGCTTATCCAATATCAATCACTGACACTAAAGTGGTTCCTTTACCACGTACCATAAAATATGTTTGAATGAAACCACGTTGTGTAAAATATTTAAGCACTGAACTACTTCCAGTTGGCATTCATAGCCAATATGAATGTGAACTAAAATCTATCAGATATTTGTATTTATCAATCTTCTGAAATATCATAAACTCAGGAAATTCAATTTATTTATCAAAAATTCAGCGTTTAGTTCAAGTATGCGTAAATATCATATACATTACGTGTGCTTGCTTTATAAAAAGGAGGGAAAGTCGGTGATATCTAACATATATTAGATACATATATTACGTCATAATAATGATGACGTCAACATTTGGACCATGGCATTCATGACTAATATGAATGTCATCTGAACTCTGTTAGGTTGTAAAGTGGCAGTACTATTGAGTGGAAAATACACGGTTTTTCATCGTATTGACAAACATGTAATGTCGCATCACGTGATATCATTGTGACGTCAGCAATAAGACCTTTTATAGACATGGCCGCATTAAATTACACTATCTCCATTTGAAGACTTAAGCATTACTTTTAAAGATCGCAATGTGAATACGTAATGGATATCAGAAATCACCCGCCATTTTGGGCAAATATTCCATTTCGTATGACATCAATAAGTGCTGTCGTTTTCGTTTCTGCCCGACAGAGCTTCGCTAAAAGCAAAATGTTCGTTTCTGATATCATTCAGGTTCATGAATGGAAATTCATTAAATATACTACATGTGTATTGTTATTAGGGTTTGTGACGTCATGGTTCAATTGAGAGACGTCACTAATTTGAAGCGAGAGCTCAATTTTCCGGAATTCAAAATACATTCCAATATTCAATTCTATTTCATTTGTGATCAATAACACTCGTAAAGAATGGTTAGATTTATATTAAAATCTTTGACCTCAGTCCGAGATCTTAGCCCGGAATCCTCTTGCACATTTTCCTATGAAAAATATACCCTTTCATCAATGCGTAATATTTCTATGAATCATTAAAAAAATAACAACACATGTCTAAATCGCATTCATTATCATACTGGCTTCAATGTCAGCTCATTGACGATTATCCACCATAGTTTAAATACCGCACTGTTCGTCTGTCGTGACGTAAGTCGATCCTGTAACCAGGGGACGGAACTCCATACAGGGGGAAATGAACACGGATGTTCCGTAACTAGAGAACTCAATGTTCTCTTTAAAGTGTGCTTTGTTCTCGGTCAGTAGTATTGTGTACACTCAGGACAAGACTGATAGGCCTGATACCCTACACTCTACCGACATTCTATAACAAGCCTAGCTACAATGTGGGTTAGCTCGGTCGTCAGTTTCTTTCCCTCAAACGGTATCGGATGTACGTGTTTAATCGTGTAATACAGATTTCGGATGTATCTATACTAAATGCTTTTATTTTATTTCTTCCTTGATTGGTGACTTTATAACAAGCTAAGTACACTGTGAAATGGCTGTTTTTCACTCAGTTAATATTTTGTGCCGGTGTGCATTATTAAGCTGACAAACTCTGGAATACCAGAACTTTGTAATAGTATTATGTGAAATGACCAGCCGTATCAGCTTTCTAAAAGATTGTATCGACAAACGAATATGGATCGTATATCTGAATCTAAGTCTACTATTTCATATACAACGTTCTAAATTTGACCCCTATAATGGCCCCTAGTGACTGTTCCTCACTTAATGGAATCACAACGCATGAAACACAAGTAAAACAGGTCCATCTATGACTAAGTACAAAAACGTCTGGTATAATTATTCCGGAACAATTGTGTATTGCCACAATGGTTTGTAGACTTTTATGTCAGTATTGCCATTCTAATGTGTAACTATTGTTAATGGTTTTCCGCGAGTATTACTTATCACGTGATTAATGCGACAGAACGAGGATTGCGTATTAAAAAAATCGGTTTCTCACCACACCAGCTCTCCGCAAACAACGGTCATACTCATTTCAGCATTGCCCATGGCAATACTACTGTCATCAATTATCAAAGACATACATATTTCAACAATGACCACGGCCATTCTCCTTAAAACACTGGCTACGGCCATAATCCTCCCATCAATGACCAGTCGTACGCCTTTCAACAAAGATTATGGTCATTCTCCTTAAAATACGGCCATAATCTTTTCATCGCTGAACAGTCAAACACCTTTCAACACTGAACATGGCCATAAAATTTGAACAACATTTTGAGCTTGTATTGCATAAAGACACGTGCCCGAAACATCAGACATCACAGGCAGGAATATAGCGGAATACGCAGTGTTTATTGATGTTGTTATTAAGTTATTTTTGTAGCCTGCCATCGATTCATATAACGACAAAAATATAATAAGGATATAATTATGATGAAATCAGGTAACATCGAGCACTAAACATGATATTTTGTCGGAAATGTCAATAAAATGCACCAAACCAATAAATTACCTGAAAGGGTGTTCCAGAATATCCGGAAAACATCTGTATATCCGGTGGACATTGACCTTTACTGATGTTCAAGGTCAGCACATCCACACATATAGCCTCGCTCTGAGCCGTGTCACGTGCTAACTTGATGATACAGTTTTCGAGACGCACCCCTCGCCACGTGGCCAGGACGCCCATCTTGTCCACCTTGTACGTCTGCCTCAGCAGACAATTGGTGTGGTCTAGGACAACTGAAGGTCAGAAAAAAGGTCATTTATCATTCTGTCGTGTTAAATCAGATGTATTTTGTTTTGCGAACCACGAACAATCCTTATCAAACATGATTCTCGTATTACAGGCTGTGATCATGGATTTCCCCATGCCACGACTCCGATTTGAGTTAACCCCCCCCCCCCCCCCCCCCCCGTACATTGGGAACAGTTTTTTTCTGCATGACTTTACTTGTAGCTTAAATAATTCTTTTCTGAAAGGAAAGTCATACCTTGTATGACTCACTATCATGAAAGAAACAAAATAAATAAACAACAGAGTTTTGAGGGAAAAAAATCAGCGGGGCTAGATCGGGATTCGAACTCTGGACTTCAGATTGCGATACTGTCACTGTAACCGACTGAGCTACCTGTTGTGCAATGATTATATCCTAATCGAGAATAAGGGGAGGTCACTGTGTACACGAATATACTAGACAAAAGGCCCATAGGACCTGCAGCGCTCACCAGATGAGGAAACTTAATTACATTCCTCCAATGTGCTTACTTGCCAAAATCATAGCTCTGGGCCTTTTGGTTTTCAACAAAACGTTATCAAAACGAAGTTGGCGGACGGCAACTTCGAATCAAAATTGGCAATACACAGTATAATTTACATAGCTCAGTATACGGCATGCGAAAAATTAAAATTGGACGTACTTGTCTGTGTTACATCGAAGATGTCTAAACAAACCCATTATATTGGCAGCAAAGTCTGATGTTCTTTTTACCTAACGTACGGAATAATATATCTTCTACAATTGTCTATGGACGGCTATTAGCACATTCTGTCACTTTGATTGGTTAAAATTCGCAATAGTGGGAACGTGGCGGTCTGAGGATTGGCGCCCTTTGACTTCGTGCTCCTCGATTACGAACAACATTCATCGATGTGGAACAATAATTGATGTTTTAGCTAATATTGCAAGCGGTTAGCTAAATCTCTTGTTTAGAATTTTCAAATTACTTATATCGAGTGAAAAAGCATGCTATACAATGGAAACTCATTTTAGGGCCGATATATAGGCTGAAAACAGTTTGATTATATACATATACCTTAAGGTAAAAATATTCAAATATGCATTGTACTCCGTTGAATCTGAATTATAAATGTTCTTCTTCTGATGACAGCTGCTTTTAAACTGAGTAATGAATCGAGTGAAGTAACACTTCAATAGCTTGAGATGTTTAATTAAAACCAGAAATAAGTATGTAGAACGATAAGGGTTAATAATTAAAGACGACACGACAAGTGAATCGCTAACAACCTTTTGAAAAAGTTCAGACGAGTGATTACACCAGCACGTACATATACACGACTTGGTCTGTCGGGAACCGGAAGTAAGATATGTAAACAACTCACTTTCCGAGGATATCGCTAGACAGGCAGTGAACAGCAGACTGAACAGCAACACACATGACAAAAACATGGCCCTCCCTCCAACATCCGGTGAGGCAGAGGACACACCCACAGTCTTCGGTGGGGCGATTTGGTGACGTCAGTTCCGATACAGGATCATGCTAAAGTTGTTCTTTAGTGCATGGTGGTGGCACTGAAATAAAAAGTAAAATAGTTTAACTAAAATTAACAACTGTGTTATCTTGCATACTAGAGAAGTGAAGAATCAGAACGGAGATATAAAGGCATTGCAATGTTCGGAAGTTCGTATATATTTATAACGTGTATAAAATGAATTACATATTGAGCGATCTGGTCACACACTGGTAGCACCAGTCCCCGATACCTGAGTGCCTGGATCATTTCCCGTCGTTCGTGTAGGTAAATCCTATATAGAACGAGAATATCGCATCGATTAGAGCGTTTTTTATGTTTGCATCCTAAATCATTAAATGGCTCAAATTATTATGCGAAATCAATTTGTCACGATTTTTTGTCCTGGAAATTGCAAATAGGAATGGGTCAATTTCCCGATGAATGACTCCCGTTGTGCGGTCTGGCTAATAGCACGTTTCGAAATTCCCGCAGTATTCGCCATACATTCGCAGTATTGTGTCCAAACACAAATGTATGTATTACACACACCCTGACACAGCAATTTCGGCGTATCATATTTTTTTTCGGATAGTTTAAAAAATCAACATTTGTACATGAAGGGTTTCCGCTTCACTTTGGTGACACAACAATGGGTCGGAATAGTGGTGACGCCGGAGTGTACATACACACCCGATACGTCAAGTGAACAGAACACACAAAAAAGTCAGATTCTCGCCATACCGTGGCAGACTTCGGTGTTTATTTAACTGGGCAGGGTTGTCATAATTCTATATTATCTGTCAACAAAAAAACCCGTTGATCTGACAAGCTAGCTGTGGCGTCACGCCACGCAATGGCAGCCAAAGTGCACATTAGTTTTTTCAAAATGTGACAGCGACCATAAAGGGCACCTGTCTTTAAATACCAGGCGCCTTTATCGGCAGACATTTAACGGGAGGCATGGTCAACACCATTACGTCCCGTACACTGGGCCATCTGTCCGTGGTGGCTGATCGATAGAATTTTAACACATTACAGACTTACGCCATAAAGTTAAAGGTCAGCAGTTTCATAGCAACAGCACTTAGATAAATTTTGTAAATTGTGCAGTGTACGACAACGGTCACCAAGGTGATGTGTAGACAAAAGGGGATATCCCTTGAACCTCCCCTTCTCATACCTTAATGATCATGTTAGGTCGACCCAAGATATTCAGAAGATAATGGAATCGGTAACCATGATAACAGGTCATTTCTCCTTAGCTATGAGACTACAATGTTGGACGGCAACCCTTAAGTGCGCATGTCAACGTGATTGACATCCAATATACCGCCATTTGAAAATATGCAGTTTTATACACCATTTGAAGTCAAGTGAACACAAAAAGATAAACGTGATGCAGGTGTTGACTTTCACATGCATTGTGCGTCATTATAATCAAAGCTCCACAATGATTGCTTGTGATAATCTCAAATTTATTTTTTCAAAAATAACCTAAAAGATAGTGTTACGCTTGTCTGTATTAATAATATAATTTCACGAAATGACGTTGCAATTTTTGTGAATGAATTGACATTGCAGTTCCACAAGTAAATTGGGGCGACGAAGATTTGCTAACATGAAATGGAATATGACTGATAAACAATCCACAATCGCCCGTTGTAAAACATTTTTGTAAATCCTAACGTGGACAGTAATATAAACCGACTTTGTAAGCTTTGGATGGCTATAACAATTGCCGAAACTAGTACTACCATTCGACTCGTCACAACTCGCCGATCAGACCAAGTCTACCATTCGACTCGTCACAACTCGGCCGATACCATTCGACTCATCACAACTCGGCCGATTAAACCAATACTACCATTCGACTCGTAACAACTCGGCCGATTAAACCAGTACTATCATTCGACTCGTCACAACTCGGCAGAATAAACCAGCACTACCATTCGACTCGTCACAACTCGGTAGATCAAACCAGTACTACCATTCGACTCGTCACAACTCAGTCGATCAAACCAATACTACCATTCGACTCGTCACAACTCGGCCGATTAAACCAGTACTACCATTCGACTCGTCAAAACTCTGCCGATTAATCCAGTACTACCATTCGACTCGTCACAACTCGGCAGATTAAACTAGTACTGCCATTCGACTCGTCACAACTCGGGTTGATCAAACCAGTACCACCATTCGACTCGTCGCAATTCGGCAGATTAAACCAATACTACCATTCGAATCGTCACAACTCGGCCGATTAAACCAGTACTACCATTCGACTCGTCAAAACTCTGCCGATTAATCCAGTACTACCATTCGACTCGTCACAATTCGGCAGGTTAAACTAGTACTGCCATTCGACTCGTCACAACTCGGGTTGATCAAACCAGTACCACCATTCGACTCGTCACAACTCGGCAGATTCCAGCCAAGGTTATCCGGTTGCTACCATTCCATGTCGAATGTTAACTGTATAAGCCGAATATTAGCTCTGATCACGCCAGTATGGTTCCCCCTCGTTTCCCACATAATCAAGAAATAGCACGTGTTGATGGTTACCGCCATAGTGTTATATGATTAAAAACCCTTTATTTCCTAAGGAGTCGTATTTTAAAGCTTCTGAAATTGTGTCTTTATGATAATGTGCAAATTATCAGCTGTCATCCACGAGGAATTTAATGTAGTTTTGTAAATGTGATACCTATCTCCCGATTCACAGACGTGCACTACCTAAACACTGCAAACAAAGCGAACGAAACGTACACAGTAGGGCAAGCTTGACGAAGGTGTTCTTATCTAAATATGCATAATGCAGCTCAGTTTAATTTGTCTCTGTCCAAACAAACACAATTCTAAAGATTGCAATCGTTGTATTAAAGCCACACTCATACATGTGATTTAAAAAGCATGTTGTTTAAATCAACGTTACTTGTCAACAGGAGTTAAAAATAGATAGTATGTATTACATTATGATTAATTTTAATTTATCTCTTTCCTTTATATGTTTAGACTGCTGATAAATCTCTAAAAAAAAAAAGCAATTATTGATTAATCGGGATTATGTTATGGGTACTTTCTGAAATATCGGTTGAAATCTTGGACAAAAGCGCCAAACTCAGATTTATTTTAACCATCGACAAGTTGACAAAACTTTGGGTTAACTGTATTTTTGTTCCGTACATAATACTTGAGAAACAAGTCGACGCCAATAGCTCACGTTGTCATGGCTACCATAACACTGCAAACCATCTTTAAAAAATGTTGAGCTGAAAAATAAAACTATCATCTTTATGTATAACTCAGTTTGTGTAAGAAACAAATGTTAAAGTTTACGCCGCTGATGGATGCCAGAAATGGCGTATTCGTAAATTCGTAGATCTCTGTGTCTTGTTACTGAGTAAGGGTTGGCCATTTTTTTGGCAGAAATAAATCAAGACAGATTAGGTAGTATACAGTTTTATATACCCTATATACCGCCATTTGAGGTCAAGTGAACACAAAAAGATAAACGTGATGCAGGCGTTGAATTTCACATGCATTGTGCTTCATTAGAATGTTAGCCCCACAATGAATGAATGCTTGTGATAATCTCAAATTTATTTTTCAATAAAACCTTATAAATAATGTTATGCTTGTCTGAATTATAAATATAATTTATGAAAGGTTGTTTACATATAGAATTTTATAATAGATTACCTACACAATATAAACTCACACGTTTCATATTACAAATTGAGACGAAAACATTCCAGCAAGAACGCGATAACAATTTAGATACCAATGAATAAAAGCCCCTGTGATAATCTCAGAAGTAATTTACCGATCGTGTCAATAGAATCAAGAGTTGTAAAAACAAGCCATGGGCGATATTATTTTTGAATTAACGGATCAATTTCATACGAATGAATGAATGCTTTTATTTAGAGAGTTGTTTCTTCTTATTTTACCTGTAATATCAACCAAAGTTCAATGTTTTCAGTAGGTTCAATGTTTGGGCATTATAATCTATTTCGTATAAGTATTTACATGGGCGTCTCGAGCTCGTCCACGATATTTTATGTCAGTAAATCGGTTCTGTCTTTTGGGAATTAAACCTCGTGAGACGATAATTTATTGTGAATCAACAATACAGCAGTGTGTGTTCAACGACGTGGCCGATAAAATCCAGCAGACCCCACTCCTACAAAGCGTGACATTTCCTATATTTCTTAACCTGCCCGTATCCTGAATGCACCCTGGCGAGACCTTGAAGACGTTGAACCCAGTGGCTGTGGTATGCCGTGTATACGTACGCCTATATGCTTCAGTTATGGAGGTTATATCGCAATCTCTCATCTCCAGTTTTTGTTACCGATATCTGTACCTCCGGTATTCAGACGTAACATTATACATATCAGAGGGGCGACGTATTTAGCAACAACCAAACACGCGTGTACCTTTAACCAGATGATAGGTAACGTGAACACGAGTTTAGATTGATTGTAAAAAGGTCAGACATTTGTTTTGTCGACATTTTACATAATGATTTGATTTTTTCAAAAGAAATGAACAATTTTAATACCCCAATATAAATGTATTTCTGGTATATAATGTAGCACCCCTATATATATTTGTACCCCGATATATATGTATTTCCGGTATAAAATATAAAACCCCGATATAATGCATTACCATATATTTTCTGATCACGCCCAACGTGAACTTACACTGTATCATTCGGCGTTTTATATCAATGACGAAACCTTCAAAAATTCGCCCCAAAACTTCCTGAAAATGCTGAATAATGCAACGTGAATCGAACTTACAGCAAATTACATAAATAAGATGAATGACTCAGCACCCTTTTATCAAAACAATTTTATTATCCTCTTCGTTTTGCGCAGTATTGTAGATTAACAGTAAACCTATACAATGAGTGTTGAATGTTCCGTCCCCAGGCTGGGACATACCAATGTCCTTAAAATGGATCATTAATTATTATTCCTTTCTAAACTTCAGTATTTAATGTAATCACAACAACTATTTAACTGGTCAGTACTGTGACCAGGTAGTATACAATGATGGGTGCCTTCGGCATGGCATTTCAGTGAGATAGCACTTTAAAGTCGGCGTCATTTCTACGCTATCGGATTGAGGCAAATACACCAGCATACTGTCTCCGGTAAGCAAATACACATGCACACACGAAGGCACGTCTTAAATGTCTCAGCTGTTCATGGGGGGCATTAAACCTTATAAAACCCAAAAAGAAACCAAACAACAAGATATGTGATGAAGTTAACGGCATCTGAAGAAAGACAACCAACACGTGCAGGTGTCTATCTGCAGTCGGGTTTTAAAAGGGATCGAAATAAAAACAAGGATTTGATGTACATATCAGTAGATCTCTAGAGCCAAGATGCAAGAAACTTTATTTAGAATCGCTTTTATATCAACAAGAAACCTTAGGTCTGGTAAAGTTATTATTGCGACAAACATCAATACATCAACACAATGAATTGATTAT